TCAGGGCGGCCAAGAGCGTGGTGGAGTTGCAGAAAAAGGTTTCCAAATTGTACGACGACATGACTGAGCTCACGGCCGACCTCAGAGTGGGGGAAATCAGCGTTGATGAGCCGAAGAATCTAGCCTGCTATTTTTGGATATGTTCTTCGACGCTTGCGCGTTTCATGGTTGGTCTGTCTTCTTTCCTTGAGCGCTGTTCGAGCAGATATGCCATTCCTGTTTTGCCCAGGCATGCTGCAACTTTGAAGACCTTGTACAGCACCAGCAAGCGCCTGCCATTGTCTCAACTAGTTGATTCATCTGAAACCCAGTTTTCTTCAAGAGTTGAGGATGTTTAATGCTGCTGAGGCTTTCAACATGGACAGCCACAGAGAAAAAGTACAGGTTAGGGACCTGGATGTGCTGTGTCAACAGTTTAGCATCACTAGTTGTCCATCTGCATGGTGTGACGTTTATTCTGCTGTTCACCTATCCATGATGCTGGCCAAGGCCGTTGCTGCGCAAGCCTCGGAAGTCCGAGAAGGAAGACTAAGCGGTTTGAGAGGGATTTTTGACTTTCAAGTCTGGGGTTGAAGCGGGTGTGAATGCACGCCATAGCTTCCTTGCAATTACTGGTGATCACGCTCCCAGAGGTGTGCAGACCTTTAGATTAGTGTTGAGCGCTGCTCGAGTTGATGCATTTGGGTCCAGTGTGGGCAACATTGACTCTAAACTACATGCTGCCCTGAGATATGGTAAAATGAAAGACTATCAGCGTCCTCCACATCAATTTTTGTTGAGCTCCAGAGTCCAACGGGGGAGACAGTTGTTTTGTTTATGGTGGCTTTTACTGTCTTGGCCAGGTCGGCCACGATCAAGAGTGAGTGGGACGGCAGAGTACCTGGCCAAATGCGTTGGTTCTGGCGTGCCAAGCTCAGGGTCTTTCCTTCCCACTTGAGCAAGCATAGCGTATGAGTCATTCGTGATAGTGGGAGAAGACCAGCTTCTGGCTCTCAGCACCATGGCGTGTGAAGAGACACTATGGCTGGAAGAACTTCTAGGCTTTAGCGTAAAGAATAATTTGCGATGCCGGGAGCAACGGCAGCCTTGTGAAGGCAACTTGGATTGTTTAAAGTAATGCTGGGTGGAAGCGAGCAATTTTTGTTTCTGTAGTACTATCAAGTTTTTGGATTGAACGTGCCACACAAATGCTCGTGGTGTACTCCTGAAACAAAGGCTTTGGTGGACCTCATGACCTCACGAGTCTTTGTCCTTGCTAAAAGCGTGATGCTGTGAATGCATTTCTGTTTTCGCATCTGCCGAGGACCTCCTGTCAAAAATATCAGGTCATCCGCTCTTGCAAGTCCTTTGCCCGTGCTGGACCAGTTTCATTTTGAGGAGAGGGGTTTTGGAAAGGCCGCCAAGCCGTCTAGTAGCAGGCTTAGCGGTTCCATTGTGCACAGACATGAAAGCTTTTGGGGATGGCTTCCGCATATTGTCATTGTATTGAAGGGTGGCCAAGGGTGAGATGTAAGATGCGCGAGTCGTTCCGAGGTGTACCAAGCATTCTTGATCTGTTCAAGCCTGCGCTGAGAGGCTTGCCGAGACTTCAACATTTGATTTTGAAGGGGTTGGGGGACGATGGCCTAGTGTGGTTGAAATTGCCACCGCCAATGGCCAACACAGGAAAGGCTTTGGCCTCATGCCGGAGACAAATAGAGAATGTTTTGACCAAAGGCCCACATGTTTACAAAGTAGGGGTGACGGCAGACCCTTTGTTTCGTTTCTACAAGGAGCCGACACATGAGTCACCGTCTCCAGGCTACTACAGGTCCCCTGACAGGTTCAAGTTCATGGATGTCATTTATGCGGCAGAGTCCTTTGACGAAGCAGCTTTAATGGAAGCTGTTCTAATTGAAACTTACAAAGGCATGCCCGGAAACAGAAATGTTCGGCCGGGTGGCGAAGGGAGACAATGTGGGCAAGGGCCCTTTTTTACTTATTTTGTGTTCAAATCTGCGATGTAATTCGTGCCGTGCAACCTAAAAGCAATTGTTGGGAAACAAAACAGGCTTTGTTCTGTGCGTTGATGCAAAAATGAGCAACATAGGGAACAATCTTGCAGGGAGTGGGACTTGTGATGCTTTGATATGCTTTTGCCAACGTGCTGAGGTGCCATGCTCTCAGGTCGTTGGCTTTGCCAAGAAAGCGATGGAAGATGCCGTTGGGACTTCATCCCAAGTTGCTTCCTGTCCAGTCGTGAGGGGTCTGAGCAAACTTAAAGCCAATGATGCAGAGGATAGGCTTCACCCACTCCTTGCCAAGCACAATCTGAGTTTGCCTATAGATCTGACCCCGCTATCTGGGGACTTGCTGGAAGGGTATCCTAGACTCAAACCTCTCCACTTCCTGGAATACATGGCAGCCAATGGCTACCTGAACCGTCTTCTTGGAGGAAAGCAGGTGGCCGAGGCACGGCCGATGCTTGAGGAGTTTTGGCGAAGGTTTGAAGTGTACCACCCCGACTTTGGTTTGTTTCTGGTGGACGACCCTGATGTAGAGCTTGGGCTTTGCATCCCAGTCTTTGCTCACGCTGATGGCGGACGTGGTTACAAAAAGTCCGAGTTCATGGTTTTTAACTGGAGCTCAGTATGCGGAAGCGGGACTGCAGGCGGTAATAAGAAAGATCATTCATTCCGAATGCTCAAGCGGGGGAAGAAAGAAGCCCAAATCAACCTCTTGGGACACTCGTATGGGACACACTACATGTACTCCGTGATGCCAGCTGCCTGGCACAAAGATGACTCCTGTTTCCAGGCCATGATGACAGAGTTTGGGAAGGATCTTCATGAGTGTTTTGAGACTGGTGTGCTACATCAAGGTTTGCGCTTGCGGCTCGTTGTTTTGGGCTTGAAAGCGGATTTGAAGCTTCAGGCCCGTGCTGGCCGCTTTACACGATGGTACTCCACTTGCAGGAAAGGTCCACTTGATCCGACAAACCTCAAACAGAGTCCAGGGTTGTGTTGCTGGTTGTGTCCAGCTGGAGATGTCCAATTCCCCTTTGAGGAGATTCACACAGATTCTCCCAAATGGTTTGAAGCTATCGGGGAGTGGGCGCAATGGGTGCCTTGGAGAGATGGAGAAATTAGCGGATTGGTGGCCAACAGCTTTCAGTACTTGTCTCAACCGGCAAAATTTTTCTTGCCTGATTTGTTTCATGTATATCTGGCAGGGTTCGGTCAAGACCATGCCGGGTCATGCTTGGTCGCAATGCTGGGAACCATATTTGTTGGAACATCTGTTGATGCCCAACTGGCAAGTTTGAACACAGCGTGGCGAACTTGGAAAAAATGATGAGGGTTACTGCCAACACCTATTTATTCACCAGAAACATGCTGAACTTTCCAGATGCTACAAAGACTTTTCCCACTGGAACCTGGTCAAAGGCCTCAGATACCTCAAAGATAAGTGAGTTCATCATATACATGTGCGAGACGTACGACGACAAGGTTTCCCAGGACAAGATGCTGCACTACATTGATTTGTCTTGCAAAGCTTTACGCAAATGCATGAGAGGTTTGTACAGTGCTGATTTGTGGGTAGAGCCTCAGTCAACATTGGGTGACATAATGTTGTGTTTTGGTTTTGCCACTAAGTTATTTCAACGACTTATATAAGTTCCCCTGTTTTAGCAAACAATGTATTGGTGGGTGGCATTGGTCTAGGACTGTGGGGCTGTAAGCAAATTTGTCAAACGGTGAGATATGTTTGGTCCAATGTTTGGTTGCCTTGGCGAACATGACACCCTACATAAGGTATGTCATGTCTGCTTTCCCCATTACTCCGCCACAACGCTCAAAGGACATTGACATAGACAAAATTGCAATTCTTATTATAAGTCCTATGAGTAAAAGAGATTAAAGAACACTTCCCCATGATGTCCTCTACCTGATCCACCCTCATCCCTGTTCATCCTCATCCTGATCCATCCTCCTGATCATCCCCAGCGTCATCCGCATCTTCACCTTCATGCTCATCCTAGATCATCCTCATGTTCATCCTGATCCTGATCGATTTTGATCATGAGTTACCTAATTGCCTTTACCCATTCCAATCTTCACCGCCTTCAACCGTGTCCTCACGCTCATCCTTATCTTAACTACTCAGGCTTCAGCAAACTGCAGGCGAATAGTGTATCCGCTTGCCATGCCACCTTTCGTTTCATTCACCCACGTCCTATAACTCAAGGTTGGGTTCCAATTCTTTCATTTTTCTTCCACCAAGGAAGAAACCCTGGCGGAGCAGATTGTGGGAGATGGCCTGACTTTTTTGCAGGCTTATGCCAAGCTTGCAAGTTTGGCATATGCTAGTTCCCGCCCCCTCTTTGCCTACAGACCAAAATTACACTATTTCCACCACATTCTTTTGGAAATGAGGGTGACTGTTCGCAAGGGCGGCAGGCCAATGAATCCTTTGGCCTTTTCGTGTAGCTCCGCAGAGGATTTTATTGGTCGCGCATCACTTTTGAGTAGGCGTACAGCTGCTCAAACTACAGAGCGCAGGGTTCTTCAGAGATACCTTGCAGCAGCTCATGATGTGTGGACCCGTGAGCGAAATTCATAGATCTACGACAGTTGCGGTGGCCTGGGGAAACAAACATGAAACTGGTCCGATGGGTGAAGGGATGCGATGAATGGAATACCTTGGCGTGGTAGACTCAATAAGAGACAACCTTAAGTTTTGATAGGCTACATGCCTGATCCACAAGAGATGTTGCATGGATATGCAAGAATGTGAAAGAACCAATGATTTCCCTAATTTTCAGATTTTTGAGCTAAACCTAAAAATCCCAATCGCCTAGAAAAAAGTAGGCTGTCAGGGGGTCTAGGTATAAACATAAATTACATATTTATAAGCTAAGTCTCTTACATTTCATTCACTTTGAATTTGGTGATCTCGACATGACTCAACCACTTCCTTCGTCACCGTGGCGGTCCTTCCTTTCGCTCGCCGGTCCACGCCTGGTCTTCCTGCAGCTGGCGTCGGCGCATGACCTCGCGCAGCGCCAAGGCATGTTGCCACTTGAGGTGAACGCTGCAGGCGCTCATCGTCGTGTTGAAGGACACCTTCCCATGGCCGTAGGCGGCCGTGCCGTGGGCGGCTGCGGGCGTGGCCCGGTGGTGCGGCAAACTGTGCCCGGGGGAGGTCCAAGATGAGGTCAAATGGGGTGAGATGGGCAGTCACAGCACTGAACAATTAGCGCGGACCATTGATCCGTGGAAGCCAAAAACAAAAAGATATGATCTCAACAGTATTGTATGGATTTATCTCAGTGGCCAATGTCTGGATGACATTGGCGTAAACCAATCCACCACCTCTGTGGTCTGTTCAAAGCGCTGGAGTCCGCTGGATTCGGCATCAATGAGACTGGAGCAACAATGAGACTCTGGGACACAGAAAATGGTCACAGCAACGGACGACGGACCTCATCTGCTTGGACACGTCCTGCGGGAAGGAACTGAAGCAGTGCGATGGCCCGTTGCCACTGACCTGACGCTCGGCGAACCCGACCGGTCCGTGGCGTTGCCGCCCGCCCCACAGAGGCTGCGCGCAGATGGAAGACGTCGCCCCGACAGACAAGGGCGAACATCTCGACAGGATGGGTGTCAGGACATGGGTGCCAGGCTCCTATGACCTGGTTGCCAGTGGATGATGATGGTCAAGTTGCAGGCCTTGTCCAAAAATAGTGATTTGCTTGTTTACTGACTGTTACAGGTAAGAACGGACAAACCCAAGGTTTGGACATGGTTTGAACTGTCACGCTGGATGTTGGTGACTCATGTGACTCTGAAGATCCAGTGAAATGATCCCCATGCAAGAAGCAAGGTGCTTCATGGTGCTTCTGTCTGTGTGGCGAAGCGGCGGCCAAGCGGCTGGCTCTTTCCAACGCACTCAAACAAGCATTGGAAGATGTCAAGCCAGGTGCTTCTCCTGATGACAACCGCGCACAAAACAGCCAGGTCTTCCGTCCAACCAGCACTCGAGCAAACAGAAAGCCAAAAAACATCGCAAAATCTCGCAAAAACATCTCCCATGATCCTAATACCAAAATTGCTGTCACATGGAATACGTGTCCTTTCTGCTCCTCACTGAAATACATGGAATCTCACCTTGCCTGTAGAACCAACACGTTTTGTGCAAAAACGTCCCCGTCCTCGTTCTTCGAACCGGTTTGGTCGTGAATCCAGAGCAAGAAACAGCAGTCCTTGGCAACAAGCAGCAAGCTGTTCCTTCAACAGCTGTGCCCAGAATGGGCCAGAATTCTTCGGGTGGAACCCACAACACTTGGCCTCTGTCCTTCGGCGACAACACTCTTCGCAAGATATCGCATGCAAATCCCAGCGACATGCACGTGTGATCACATGCGAGAATTGAAGCAAAACAGTTTGAACACATCTTTTGCAATACTTCATGCTCGGTTCTGTGCCATGCTTCGAATCGCATCTTGCCAAGCGTGGCCATCTCGGCAGGCCTCAACATCGGCCGAGCTGATAAACCATCTCAAAAAAAGCCAGCCATTAATTTTTGGCTCTTGTATACGTTGCAAATATACTATATAGCTTTATATAAACAATGTTTAACTAGCACATCTGCAGAACACATGCAAAATACCGGATGAAAGCCAACTAGCAACAGCTTTAAGAGCAAAAAACATCTGGAAGAATACCCATCCTCACATCCCCAACATGACCCAGATTTGGACCGGCCGCAGCCGCAGCCATTGGAGCGTCGACGACCTGTGTGCAGCTCAGGGACTGAAATGGCCGCTGTGCATGTCACGGCGTCCAGTGCTTCTCCTCGATCACGTAGCGATTGCAGTATTGCCTGCAAAGCGAAAGGATCAAGTCGATCTAAGCTTTTGAAAGCCAGTGTATCTGCGAGCAATTGACTAAGAAAAAACAGGACGGCAAGAATATGCACATCTATATAACTTAAAACAAAGCACTCAGAAACAAACACCCCCAAATCGATCAAACAGCGAAGAGCTTCCATGTCATCAAGGCAGAGCCGCCTGCCATTGTGAGGCTTTGCTGCACGCTAAAACCGTGGTGGAGAATGCAATGAAGCTGGGCGTCACCTGATCGAGCCGGATACAAACGCGACGAGCGACCCGTCGACACGTCGTGGAAGTGCATCCAACGGAACTCCACCGAACATAGACTGAAAGGCGTCACTGAAAAGGCGTCACTCCCTGCATCGAGAACTTGTATGTAAAGTAATGTAGACTCTTGATTAATAAACCCCTCATATGAAGAGGATTTTCCACTTCATACTAGTATGGGGGGGGTTATTAGTCAAGAGTCTACATTACTGATATTGTGATCAAGTTCTGCAAGTATTTTGCGGAGTGCACATTATCTCCCTGCACATGGATCCAAAGAAGGAGTGTAGAATCGTTTCTTCTGAATGGGGGAAAGGCACCTTCTTCTTGAGATTCTCCAGCAAGGATATTGCGATGGTCCACTGGGAAGCGCGTTCAGCTCCTCACAAAGAAGAGAGATACGTCCGTGCTCAGAAGTCTTGGAAAATCAGTGAAGCATAGAAGGTCGATTTGCCCTTTAAAGCCTGTGCGTCATGTTGTCAAGGCCATCATATAAGCCACATAGATCCTTCACCATGGTTCAAGCTTCATTTTCGTACTTTTATTCTTATTACCAAAAAATAACACATGACCCGGCAAACGATCGGCCGAGGCTCGGTCCTGAAATGGCCGCGCCGACCGCCACCGTGGAGTCTTTCGCGTCGAGCCTTTGTAAAAGAGCCAAGGAGACCTGCGATGCGTCACCACCAATCTGGCAAAGCAAACTCAACCATCAGGTATAGCAACACAGTTTGTTCCGCAACATGTCGCATCTCTGAAGACCATCGTTGAAACCAACAAAAACAAACAGAGCATATAATATAGAATCTAGAACATATCTGGCTCCTCCACCCTACATCAACGCCTTTTACTTGAGTGTGAGAGTCTCGGCTTCTTCACTCGACTCTACCGATCTGCAACTCGTCCGACCTGCAACTCGAGCGACTCAGTCAGCGGCTCCCCCACCGGGTCCGGACGGACTTCCCCACCTGCCACGCTTCCTCGCGGCTACAGCAGCTGATGACGCTCGATGCGATGACGTCCTGAGGTCGATCGCACGAGGCGTGGCAAGGACGGGCAGCTGTTGATCTGCGAAACCAAAGAGGTCACTGCAAGTAAGAACTATACACGATACTACATGTCTTCTTGTTATAGTTTGTATTGCCGTATTGTCCCCTATGCCTATGTACGATATTGCTTTACCATGCATAAGTATGATGGTTCCATCATAGGTCTATCATTGTCTATCTCTATATAGGTAGTACTTAGGGCAGTCTATTGAACACCCCTTGGATGGTACCTTCATGTCTCCCTATTTTTTTCCTCACCGGAGGCACATCGCTCTGCAGCCGTCGCCGCATCGCCGTGCCCAGCAGCTGCACCGCCGAACGCCAGGGCGGCCGGGCGCCCAGCGCCGAGGCCACGGCGATCGGGTCCTGCGACCGATCGGGTTTTGAACGGTTTATAATGAACTGTTTTTTGTTGTGGTTTTTGCTGTTATTTCTTTTTGAGGCTCTCTTGTTGTCACTGATGGGTAACTGTAAATGAACTGGTTTGTTGGTGGTGTTTGACCGTTTTTGAGGGTGTTGTTTGAGGCTCTCCTCTTTTTTGGGCATGGGTTTTACTGAGGAGACATTCAATTCTTGTTGTACCAAGTCTCAGCTGGATGTCCACCATGTCCGCTTCAACTGCGCATGTCTAAGGCCTAAGAAGCCCTGCCTGCCTTCACCGGAGAGCACAAACGTTTGTTCGTTTGAACACCCAACTTGTTCAAAGAAATCTCAGTCCAGCACAGGGGAGGATGCCAAAACTGCCAAGGCCTCAGGGAAGCACGGACTGCATGCTATCAATCTACACTCCGGAAAGAACTCACATAGTCCTCCGTGTCGCACTAGCTTTCAGGTACTTGATACTTGAAGAAACAACCACATAGCTGGTGGGTCATGTCACCCCATAAAAGTCTGGGGACCCTGGCCCTTTAAAATCCATAGAATCAAGAAATTGGATCCATCTTGGATCATTATGGAATGTGTCAATGTCATTCAAATGAAATTTAAAGGTGTTTTTTGACTTGCGGCCACATTGTCACATGCGGTCTGACACTCTCCAAAAAAATACGCCACATCGCCGGTCTTTGGACAACTGGAGCTCCCGGGCTGCAGCCCACTGGCGCGCTTTGCCACACGCGGAGATGACCTGCGAGGAAATCAACTCATTATTATATTTAAAGTCTGAGTCTTAGACCCTCCAAACCTACATAACAGTGCCTCCAATCACCTTCTGAAAAGGTACCTATAGGGAGTCAATCATCTGTTCATCATGTCGCTGATATTCGCTGAGATTCCTTCTCTGAGCCCAGCACTGTGTTCCAGTGCACCACGTTCTTTCCTTCCAGCTGCGCCAAAAAATCCAAGGCCTCCAAAATCAAGATATAGAGTTTTAAAAAAGGGTGTGTAACACGTTCTCAGATTGAACACTATTTTGGTACCAAACGTGTTTCTTCCACCTTCATTTCGATCACCACGATACAAACCAAGTGCCATGAACGTTCACTGGACTCCGCCGGTTTTGGTTCCGTTTTGTTCTCCTTCGTCTCGCCTGGACCCAAGAAACCTCTCCCAACTGGACCAAGTGCCTGGCGCGAAGCCAGCCAACTTGGGCAGACTCTAAAAGCGACCGCGTGGAACACATATCTTAATAGTAAAAGAGCTAAAGAATAATGAACAATAAAAAAGAATGAACAATAATTAAATTGTTCAACGACCTGGATGGCTCCTTTTCTGTGCCTGGTGATGGCTTTGGCTTCCGCTTCGGCTCGAGGGTTCCTCCTTCCAAGGACTTTTTGGATACATTACTATCCGCATTTGTCATGGAAAATGGAGACAAGGGCAAGGATTGCGCAATCAAATTGAACTACTAGCTAGGCTATACTCCCTTAGTGCCTCAAGTCTAGATCCGGATCTTTGGAAAGTGGATTCAGTCCTTCGCTCCAGCTGCGCCAGCGCTTGGCGCAGAGCTCGGGCTCTCCGAAGCATAGCATGGGTGACATGGTCAGCATCTGCTGATGTTCTGCTGATTTTATGGATTTCGTTTTTTTGATAGAAAGCAACCAACAGAGAAGAACGCCTGCATCTGGTCTACGTGCACAGGTTCTTGGAACCGGTCACTGAGACGGTCTACCTAAAATCGGGACAATGGCTAATATTTAGTTTAATGTTATAAATATAAGTAAATGCATAACAACAAATATAAGTACGATATATTTATACCTAGATCCACCTGGTGGACGAAAAAAGTGCCGCTTTCCATTGTGGCCAAAAATTTTGCCACCAGAGTGGAAAATTGCCGTCATCCAAAAAAAGCGCCACCAGAAAAACAAAACGCCACATTCCATATATGGGGAAGGATGGTGCATGTCTCCTCCACGTCAGGCTCAAGGATATACTCAGTTAGATTCCCCAAGTAACACGAGGTAGAGACCAAACCCTCACACTCACCTCCACGATAACGTCATCGCAATCCCAAATCCCTGACCGCTCTACGATTCCCATTGCCAAATTTACCAACTATACCCAACTTCTGGTACTCAGGGTCATTCTTCAAGGTCATTGTGCAAGCTTTGACAATTGACCACCCCTAACAAGAGTCTTTGTGCTCATGTGTATGCTACACCCTGATAAGCCAAGCAATCTCAGTGGTCCATGGGTGACAAATGTTGCCAACATGATTACGAGAATTTACGCCGCCATTACGCGGATTTACGCCGCCATTACGTGGATTTACGCCGCCAATACGCGGATTTTCCCCGCCATTTTTTCCGTCAAATTTCACAAATTTCTCGCAACACGTATGAAACTCAAAAACATAATTTCAATTTTTGTGTTGAATGCTTATCACTCTCTTTCAGGGAGCTCTGAAGCACGAAAACAAATTATGAAACATTGGTTGGTACTCTTCCGGAACGACCAGCCGTTTCGAAGCTAAAACATAGTTCAAGCACTGCACCAATTCCGCATTTTCCCAAAGGTATACCGGTCGGTATGTTGACAAGAAGTTCACACATTGGGGTGTGTTCATCAACCTTCGGGGTTTGACACAACTATACCCAACTATACCTAACGAAGGGCACAAATCACCCAACTAAACAACTTCGAGCCAATCACAAAAAACGCCGCCGCAAAATCAAGAAACGCCGCAGCTTTACAATTTACGCCGCCGTACGGTAAAAGGCAACTTTTTTGGAAAAGTGCCTCATACGAAGATCTAGGTATTACCCATCAACTGCACATGTACTATATACCTATACGATGTACAAACGAGTACGAGTGCCTTGATGGCAATGGCCTGATCCGCCGGCAGGGAGAGATTTAGTAGCAACTTCAGCTCTAGGCCAATGAGGTGAATCCTAGGACCCCTATAGGATGCTTTCTGCTCTCAAAGTGTCCTACACAAGTGTGCCGCTTCTTTCTTCGCAAGCGATGGGACAATGTGTCAACATTTCTTCAGACCCAAGGAGGCCGCCGGCCATGGCCGAATCTGTTAAAATCCAACTCCGGACTTCAAGGGGCCCAGGGGCACGGCGGAGCTCAAGGAGAGGCTGCAGGGGCACGCACCGCGGAGGGTTCACTGGCAACTCCTTGGGTGATTCTCTCCGTCTCCTGTAAGTGATCTCCTGATGGCGCTTCCTTGCAGTCTGCCTACCTGTAGCCTACAGGCTTGGGCTTGTATAAGCCTGCCAAGCCTTACATCAGATCCATGCATCAGCCAGTCTTCTCAATGGAATCACAAAACCATGGCAGCGTCCAATTCTCTTCACGTCTTCTGCATTGTCTGTTGTGCCACTTGTGCAACTGTATTGCCCGATGGTCCACTTGCTCTTTGAGAGGGTGATTGGCGACGCTTTCATGTAAGCTTGGAGGGTCCAAGTACATTCTGAGGAGGTACGACTGGATGTATATGGGTCGGTTGACATACAGACGCTTCGTGATCGCATCCAAAGCTTCATTTTCCTCAAAGTCCAAGAGATCCCAAAGATCTCCGAGAGGAGAAACCCATTGTCACGGAGATCGTCACGTATGCCACCAGAAGACATGATCTGTTGCAAAGTTCACCACGACGTTCTTTCCTCGCAGGAGATCTTCCACGGCCTCTGTAACACCATCATTCACCTGGAGAATTCCATGCATCAAAATGCATCCGGTGCTTGAAAAAAGGCATCGTTTCAATGATGTTCCCCTACACAAGATTGCATATACGGTCATATATGAATTGATTGAATCATACATTAAGGAACAAACAACTGGACTGGACCCTTCCATAAATTGAAGCAGGAAGACAAACAACCATCAATCACACCATGAACAAAGCGTGTACACCTAGTATCCTAATACAGTCTTTCTTTCAATACGCACGCCGCACACTGCACACCCGCACACCACACCACACACCCACACCGCACACCTTTCCGAAAAACATATAGTGGATTGAGAGTCGATGGCACAATCCCCAAGTTTGGTGGTTTATATGGACCCCCATCTAAAAGTCCTCTTGGCGCGCCAGTGCCATCGAACCTCTGTTTTCGCACCGTAGAATCCGAGATCCGAGTGGCCGGATTGAAGATGTCGTGTCCCGCCACGATGCCGCCTGGGCGCACGAAGCGCGCCCAGGCGACGAGGTCCTGGAAGGTGGCGTTGTAGTCATGGTCGCCGTCCACGAACAACAGATCCACCGAGTGGAGCTCCACTCCTCCGAGCCGAGGCCGAGGACCGATGGATGGGCGGATGGAGTGACTGAAGTGGAAGAAGACTCCATCTCAAGGGAAGTCCCAAATCTTGCAAAGGGGTGATGATGGAGAACATGGAACAACTGTTATGTCGAGTGCCTTGAGGTATCCTTTTGGTTCTACTAAGGGAATGACCACAAAGAAAAAACCACCAAATGCAGGCATCTCAACCCACATATTGCATATATATTGCCTTAAGATGATTACAATGGTATGTTATAACCATCTTTTGTGAACCTTTCGCGCGACCCAACAAATCCATCAGCACCGAGGATCCATGGAGAGCGCCGCTGGTCTCCCAGGCCTCCTCCGAGCGTCGCCGCAGCAGCCGCGCCCGGTGGCCGAAGCGCGCCAGGTGCCGCGAGGCTTCGTGGAACAACGCGTCGCCTGGCACCGCGGAACGACGGAGGAGGATCGGACACGTGTTGGTACGCATTGTCCGGTGTTCTGGTCACAGATCCTATAAAATGAAACATGCACATGAAGCGATAGATTCTGTTTATTACCTTTTTAAAGATCTCAAACGTACTACTATGTGAACCTGGTCTTCGTCAAACCGCATGAATCCCGGTGTTCGTTAGAGTCAGAGCTAAGGCGAACGCAACACGAACAAGCGCAACGTGGGACGCTCAGCTCCCAGCTCTCTGCAGCCAGGCCACCCGAGTGATCTTCGTAGGGGTCGATGCCCGTCCAATGCAAAAAGGGTGCCCGATCCAACAAGAATCTGGCCGTCGAGGCCGTGTGCACTCCGATTTCGATCATCGACACCGAAACGGGTGTCTTCGTCTCTTGCGCTCTCTGTTGCGCGATCTCCTCCAGCAGTTGCAACAAGACGTGATAGCGCAAGCAGCAGCGCCAGCGCCGGAACACGAAGGGCACGTGACCACGTGACGCCGGTGCCGCCCTGTCCACCGGCAGCGCCACGGCAACGCCCTCCGCGGCCGTGCCCGGTGGTGAGAGGCGGAGCTCGGTGAGGTAGAGCTGCGCGAAGAGGTGCGTCTTCAGGCGCACGGCGTCTTCGGCCAGGTAGGAGACCAAGATCACCAGGTTGAGGACCAGGTCCAAGCAAGTGGTGGACATGACACCTCTGGAAAACAAGAAAACAACAATATATGCCAGGCATGGAAAGAACTTAATAGTTAAAACAGCAACGCTGTGACGTATGACGCGTCCCTGACAAGCTGTATGAAAGAGTTTCTGTCACCTTTCGGTCCCGTCCGCTTTTTCGGGTGTTTTTCCGCCAACTCCATCGGGGCACCGTTTCAGCGTCCCTCCTTGACCCGCACGGCCACGGCCACGGCGGCGCACGACGGTGAACCCAGCGGCCTTCGACGAGCTTCATCCAAAAATCCACCAGGGCAGGTGAGGTCATCCTCTCCACCAGCACATTGGAAGTACTTCCCATGCCTCATTGGAACTGACAGTGCAGCTACTTTGAGTTGAAGGTTATATATCAATATCTTTTTTAGGAGGGAACACCAATAATAATAGTAAATAGGGGAGACTCTACCAGTTTGCATGCGAAGCTTTCGAAAGCTTTCTTTTCCGTGCTCTGGCTTTCTGTAGACCAATAGCTGCTGCCCCTTCCCTTCCTGTCTCGTTATCTGGTCAGCTGCCTGGCGCGTAAGATTGATGCTGCCAGCCGAGCTCTTCCAAAGCCTCACGAGACACAAACGCAGCAACTTACAGCTAGAGCACAAAACAAACCTTCTCCTTACGTTTGCAAGGTCTTTAGAATTAGATCGTACGGTATACTCCTCAGCACACAATTGATACATACGATCATGGTCCAACATCTGTACGTTCTTCCCCGTGGACTGTGGGTGAAAACTTGTTGTGGCACTCCACCGCTTTGCAGTATCAATGGCATGGGCTAGTCTAAGTCAACCCCCCCAAGAGTGAACACTAGTGACACTAGTGAACACCTACCAAATAGCTTGCATTCATGGTCTCATAGGAACCTCTAAAAGTGCCCTGCCACATGCCCGAACACACGGACGATCGCACCAGGCCTTGGCCATGTTTTTCCAATGGCTTTGAAGGCTGTTCGCCAAGACTTGTGCCACGTCTTCACGTTGCGAGCAGCTGCCGGTCAGCTGCCAATGACCCAAGAGCCTGGGCAGAGAAGAATCGACAAACAAACAAACAAACAAACAATCGTGTCACCCAGAAGATCTTGGAGTAGTTAGTTTGGATGATCCAATGATCCCTGCAAATCATTCAATGATCAGATCAACACCCTCTTGCTTTTCCATGCAAGCTCTATTCTGTCAAAGCAAGATGTCCGGATCAGCTGCAGTGCAGATGATTTTTTGATTCGGCTGAGGAACTCGATGGCGATGCGAAAGAAGTAACCGGCTTGTCGATGCATGTCCTGAGGCTGCCATTGCTCAGCGAAGGATTCATTTCAGGATTCAGTCCTTCCCCTTAGGTGGAAGCTATACTCTACTCAGTGGTATATTACTACTTCTGGGCAATTTTGGCAAGACGTGAGGAAGGACAGGATTCTTTGGCTCAACAGACTCTTTCGAACCTCCACCCCGTGACCTTTCACTTATATAGGGGTTCTCAATGCCAACAACCGTAATTTATATCTCGGAATCTGGCGCTGGCCGTTCTGAGGCACAGTTTACTGACAAGAAGCGCTGGACAGGTGTCGCGCGATATGTAGCATCTTCACCTTCCGCTGCATTTGCTGCTCATCCAATAGGCTACCCGAGAGCTTGTGGCATAAGGACAACCTCGGCGTGCATGGTGGCAGACACCCACAGCTCAAAGGCATGTGCGTTTATTCACCCAAACCGCAAAGGAAGATGTAGGAGAGACCAGTTTCTTGGACCCTCCGTCTTCCTCACGACATGACCTAAAAGGGTCTACGTATGTCACACTTGTCACCATCCTGCACCGGTCCGGAGGGAGAACCTCCCTGGTCGAAGGTGCCGACCTACACAGCAGAACAGTTCATGGGCCTCAGGGCCTCAGGGCCGGTTGGAGGCACAGCAACGTCAACCTGACGTGCTTGATCGTCACCCTAACGTGATCATCTGAAATTGATGATCCAACCAAGCATGGTTGATTCTGCTTGGTTGATTCTGTTGACCATCATTAATTACTCTCATTTCAGGGAGTGTATGGAGCCATTTGGCGGGACCGAGTCTGTGCGAGACAACTCAGACTCCTTTGCAGGCCGTGTGACACATTGTGGGCGAGCAAATGAGCAGACTGACATGCCAGCTCGTAGTAGACCCGCGCCCGCGACCCCGGTTGGCCATATCCAGGAAGACCCTGGGGCGGGCGAAGGCGTCGACTTGGCACACAGAGCGTGGGCGAAGGCCACGGTCCAATGCCGGAATTGGGTCTCCGGTTGGGTCTAACCCAAAGTGCACTACCGGTGGAGCAGCTTCCGAACACATGACTTGTTCTCATCGAGGCGTTCTCAACACGTGAAACGAGGTCACCTGGGGTGGGGAAACCACCCCTTTTAGGGTGGAAACCGAGTCGTCCTTTGGGTCCGTGCCATGTGAGTCTGACTTCCCATGTGAGTGAGGTCAACTGATGAATCTGATGAATCAATGGAGGGCAAATGATTGGGTGATGGTTATGTGGCAGTGGATCTTCGTGCAAAGAAAAGAAGAAGAGTCTGGGTGAGTCAGGACACTCTGCACACAGCAGCGCGGCGCGCTATCGATCGATGTCAGGACACTGCAGTGTTTTACCGCGGTGCTCGGATGGTTCTTATATGAACAAAAGCATGTGCACGTGTCTAGAATGTTCTAGAATATCAAGGCTGCAGTGTTGTCTTAGCAGGACAGTACCAACATTCAAGAGTAGGAAACAGCAAATTGTGAGAAGAACACTTCACCAATATATAAACCAATATGGACCATACTTTCACACGTAAACACATGCTGGCATGATTGAAATGTTGACGACACGTCACCACTCCGACATTTCGATGCCGTCACCTCCAAACGCTCTCCTGCCAGGAAGGCAGTAGATGCCATGGGGTCAAAGCCAATCTGATTACTTTGCTCCAGAACCATCGTGGTGGCTGAGATGTATTTGGAAAGCCTGAGAGTCATAGTCGGTCATCTGACAACCACAAGTAACATCACAAAAGTTTCTGGTCAGCTTACTTGTGGTCAAATGTATCAGCTTAAGAGGGACGTGGGAGGATGTAAGATCATATAACATCCGAACCACGTCCCGTCCGAACACCTGAAGCGGACCGGATATCCGGAATATGTGCCGACTTCCAAGAGTGAAGAGTTGGGAGAAACCATCCTATTATGTAGAAAATACACAACTGACATTTTTGCAATTCTGGAACCCTATTGAAGAGACCCCATCCAACATCAGAAAACCCTTTAACACATTTCAAGGCAACACGACTCAACCAACCATTGTTAAGAAACATACAACAACAACAACAACAACAACAACAACAACAACAACAACAACAAC